TGATCTCGATCTTTGAGACCAATTTACTCAAAGATTGAGGTTATATAGTTATAGCCTTATAGGCTTTCGTCCATCTAACCATCCAAAACTTTGCTTCTTCCTCCTTATGGATATCATTAAAATAAAGTTTCATTGACTAGAAATTTCTCTTCAATCTTTTATATAGATGAAAGTTGAACATTTGAGGGTAATAACTAAATTATTGAATGTCAAATATTGAAATATAATCGACGTGCGTGTCTAGCTCGCATTGGATGATCACCTATCTTTTGCCTAATTCCCTCTGTTCCTTTGCCATTTCTTTGATCCTTTATAACATTGGCTGAGTAGGTCGGATTTAATTTTCCACATCTGTCACCTATATATCCACCCAACCAAATATAAAAGAAGAATTTTAATGCACCAAACTAAGCAAACTTACATATCTGTTCTCCACAAAACCCATATCATGTCAAATTCCACAAGAAACAGTTTCTTAAGAAAACAGCACATCATCCCTTTCATCATATCTTCAAAAATATCTTCCGTATAATTAATGCTCGCGTCCATTTCCCACATGCAACGAGCAATATATGTTATATAATTTACACCCTTTTTTTGTAAAGTTGACATGCTTGTTCTCTTGAAAATATCTCCACAAGAAGTTTCTATATGTATATATATTTAATATATTTTTAAAATCAACGTACGTACAAATATGTACATATATATATATATATACATGTCGACTTTCAATTATTGATTTGTTTAACTATCAATTTCCATGAGTTTTCTCCAATAATGAAACAAGCGATCGAGATTGACATTAATGGGAAAATGTACTTCTCCCCCAAGACAACGAACAAGGAAGGATAATTTTATCCACATGTGATCGTGTTGATGCTATTGTTGGTGACAATTCTAAAATTATTGACCATGTGTAAAGGATGGCTACATTTTTCACATTAAATGAACTGAGATCGGGAGACGTTATCAAGAATGCCTATTGCAATGAAAGAATTTAGATGGGGATGTGTAGCTAGTTGAAGACTTGAAGTAGCGGAGACGATTTTCTCACACATTTTTGTCATTTGGACACTCTTGTTTGTTGGAAAAACGTACCATCATTCATTTGAAAAATTGTCCAATTATTATTTTGTATTCATGTGATTCGTGATTAGCTCATTGGGTATATATTTGAATTGAGAATTTAGATTCAGCCAAAAGAATCACAATCTTCTCAACATTTCACGATTCAAAACTTAGTTTATTGAGATAATAATAAAATGGTCCCACTTCATTACTCGACCTTTCTTATTTAGATATTTTGAAAATATCTTTCACTTTTTTCTGATTATATACTTTAGATAAGTTATCTAATAAATAATGAACTTTCTTTTTCAAATCATATCATATATGAATAGAAGATATATAGACTCATTGCAACAAAAAGAGAAGATTTTTTTTTTTTTACCCTTTTGAACAACATAAGAAATACAAGTGAAATGAAAAAATACAAGTGATACTAGAAATCGAATACAAAATTAAATTAACACTTGGCATTTGATTATGCAATAAAATATTTAATTCCCAGCCTAAAACATCATTCCCTAGAAAAGGCTCCCAAAAATTCAACAGACTATTCCCCTCCTATTCCTTAATTCCCAGTACACTTCAACCCGAAACAAATTGCTCTTTTACCTGTGAAATTCATCGCCCTCCCCATGGATATTACATATGGTACAATATTCATACAATGGTGGGCATATACATACAGCCATACAGGTGATCATGCACCTATTTATGCATATCCGCTTGTAGCCTGTATGTCACATACATGTACATGATATCATATCCTGTTGGAACATGACACGATGCAAGTTAAAACTAGGGATTTCAAGATCCAATATGTTTTGGTCTCGAAAACGAGTTGTACTCTTTACGCAATTTCTAATGATATCAATGACTTATTAATTCAATGAAAATAATTTGATTTTCTTTAACTAAAAAGTTAAATATCTTTTTTGGTCTTTTTATTATTGAAAAAAACCTCTTTTTGATCTATGTATTGAAAAATTTTCCTTTTGTAATTTCTAAATATTGAAATTCGACCTTTTTTTATCTTATTGTTAAATTTTTTGATAAGTGACAATTAATTAATGAAACCATGTGATGTGAAAAATCTACTTTGTAAACAAATAATGTGAACATATTTTTGAATTCACATTAACATTTTCATCTTTTTAGCTTTTTTTTTTTTTAAAAAAATTTTGTTGGGTTCATCGCGAACCCACCCATACACTAGGTTCGTCGCGATTTATATA